TGAAACGCAGACGATTAGCAGGCAAGTTTAACAGATCAGTATTCAACTTACACACACACACACACACACACACAGCTTTTCTGTGAGAATGACTCGCTGTTTGTGAATTCAATTTACTCGTGGCTGTGCTGGCCGTCGAGCAGGCCCACAGTTCGTGTTAATTACAAGCACCAGGCGCGGGCCATAACAACAGGGCAGGATGGAAACTGGGGGAAAAAAGCACAAGAAATGCCAGGGGATCCGTCAATGAGCCGAATCCCTCGCAGCTGCGTCATGCAGCGCCAACAGAACGACGAAACACACGTGTCGGAGCTCTTAGTTAATAAGTGTGCTCTCCGAATGGTAAATAATTACGCAGTAGTGACTCTTACATGTCTGAAAGCCTTCCACCTTTTCCCAATGGGTGCTGTTAATTGGCTGTTTCAACCTTCGTTACTTTACTCTGACGTATGTCTGAGACCTGAGGATGAATAGTCAAAACGTATATTCACTGAATTTGATTTACTCAATATTTACATGGGCATCATAAAGAAAGTTCTATACTGGGTCTGGCAGGCGAACATGAGATATTCTGTTATTCATTTCGATAAACTGCAACTTCGGCTATATAGTTCTAAGCGGTTTTAATGTTGTCGAGTTTGCGGCCTTAATGCTGGCTGACGGACCTCGACTATTTTAACGATGTTGCTCTGTTAAGACAAAACGCTGACAACCTAAACAAGTGTAGTTTCTGGGGGGGAATAAGGTCGTTAAAGCAGTCGCTTTAGCCATCTTAACTGGGAAGATAAACTGAATCGGTGACTAGAAGTGTATGTTTCTTGGGCGTAACGACTACTTCAGAGCGGGCTTAGGCATAGTGTACACTTGCGCTTCATCCCATTCTGTACAACAAAGAGCCTCGCAGTTATAGCGACGGCCAATTTGTTGAACATTGCGGCTAAATGGATTACACACACATCAGTGCTCACCTGCTCGTCTATTGCAGTCACCTCGGTCTCCTTTGGAGCTGAGCGTTCTTCCTCGGGTTGGGGCACAATAGAAGAGAAGGGATCGTCACGCTTAAACTTCGTAAGATTTTCTTCGAGGATGCTTATCTTCTTGAGGTTGTCCCATCCAGTGGGTCTGAAGGCGGTAGAGAGGAGGTTATGAGAAAGAGACAGACAGTGAACAATTTTTAAAATGAAGAGTTCGACTATTTGGGAGGAAATGGTCGTTCGAAGTAGATAGTCCCGATCAATTATAGCACGTCTGTCTCTTGGTCAAAGAGACATTCACTAGTGGGCCATAATGTTTATCAAGTATGGCTTAAACTCGAACCTCTTGCAGTACCTGGAGTTGGATATGGCTAGCTGACGACGGCTAGTAAGCCAGAAATTGCCAGTAAATTCGATGTCTTCGTCGGTAGTCTTTCTATCACATAATAGTATCAACTGTTCCCTTTTTCCAGCTATTAATTCTGGGGATCATCCCTTGCC